CGGGATGGCGGCCCTTTGCTGAGGAATGTAGAGAGGCTGGGTGGGGATTTGGTGAAATTGTGGAGCCTTTCAGATTAGGTGAGCTTTCAATCTCTCTTTAAAAGGGGGCAGCGAAGAGGACCCACAGGCTTCCAGGAGCAACAGTGAAGAGTAGGCACATTCAAAAACAGAAAAACTTTTAAACAAATAGACATGAAGATCATATTGGGAAACTGAGGGCAAAGCCCCGTGATTTGCAAAAAAATCATTCAAGGGCCATCATCCATCTTGATATACGTTTGCAAACAACACAGAAACAACTTCATCTCATGGCATGTGAAATGCAAAACAGTTCTGTTGTGGGTTTTCTTTTGGCCATCCTTAAAGTATAATTAGATCCAGCGGGGGGGAAAGCTACAGCTTCCAGCATTAGACCCCATGGCCGGCCCTGCCCTATGGGCCCCCATTGGGGCAGGCCTGCTGGACCCAACCTGTGCACGAATTCATGCACCGGGCCTCTAGTGTATATATATATAAAAGGCTAAGTTGAATCGTGCATGCACAATACATATAAAACTCTTGCTGGTACCAATAGCACGCATGTGATCCATCTGTCATTGTTGATTGTGAATTTGGTTGACACCTATTATAAAGGGCGAATAGTGATATTAATATATTTCCTCTAATTAATTTCCTTTCAATGTGCACAAATTCATGCACCGGGGCACTAGTTTGCTCATAAGAAACATTAACCTCCACAGAAGTTGGTGGTTAGAAGTGAGTGTGCACACACCCAGTATTTATGAGGTTCCTGGACATTCTGTGTGGTGCTGCAGATTGATAAAGTGCTGGCCCATTTAGCATTGATACTTTTTTTAATGTATAGGGTATAATGTCACAGGAAGGCCATAGTATTCTGCCACCCGTGAGGAGTAAGCCCAAGTTGCTGTTGGATGTGTTGTACACAGAGAAGCCATTCTTCAGGCGCTCTGCTCTCTCCACACCCAATAGCATTGATACTTTTATTGGCAACAACAGGGTGATGTGTTGTGACACCAGAGCATGGGGGCTGCATTTCTACCAGCTGTTTCTGATTCTCAACCAATAGTGTAATATTGATTGTAGAAAATAGTGTAATATTGATTGTAGACTCCAGGTGCTTGCTTATTGGAAGGAATATTGTATCTGGTTTTTGGAGGCTGTTCCTTGTAGTTCTGATGGATTCTTTTCTCTATTCCACACATTAAGATCACTATGAGACTTTATTGTTTAGCTGACAAACCTCAATGCATCCAACCGCTTCCTACCACTCATTGGCTTAACTCTATCCACTCATTTATTTCTTATTAAGAAGTTTCAGGCTTTCTTTGGATTATGGTGGGCCTAGTTAAAAACAATCTAATTGAACAATTTCAAAGTACTGAACAAGGCAAAGAAGTTCTCTTTAGGCACTATTTCCAGAGTAACAAGAAGTTTATTACTTCCAAGGCTGTCTGCCATGACTCTTGTCACTTGCTGTAATTTTGCATCTCTTTTAAAATAGCCTGGACTGACTGAATGAGAATCATAAGGCATACTTGAGTCTTTTTATTTTTGGGCAATCAGATGCCTAACCAGGGTTGAATACCTACTAACAAGCAGCCTGGCATTTGGATCTATCTCTATATCAGACACACGATAGGGGCCCCCTTCCTTCCTCCATAAGCTAAATCCTTGCCTAGTTTGTTTCTAAATTTTGCCTAGTGTTCAGCTCCGGATACTAACAGGTAACAAGAAATTCTTAGCAGATTTTCAACTTATTCTTTCTTTTACTTTCTAGATCAGACTTGTTGTGGAAGAGGGATTGAATCAGCTGCCTTATAAAGAATGCATGGTGACCACTCCAACGGGTAATCACAGCTGTTACTGTAATATTTTTCTCATAAAAATTCTGAGTTTGAATTGGGGGGAAATGGAACTAAAACCAGCCTGCATAAATTAGTATGCAGAATGTGGAGTCCAGGTGGAGCTGTTCTTTTAAACAACTTAATAAACCTAGAGACATTTAGTAAAGAAATTTATGTGGATGACTTTTTGTTAATGGCTTGCTTGTCAATTTAAGTTAAGGGTTAATAAATATTCTTCAGCATGCAGGTGATGCCTTTGATGACAGCCCATTGGGACCAGAGTTAAGAATTGCTGGCAATTTATCTTCATCTCTGTGGGGAAGCAAATGGGTGGACTGGTTTGGCATTAAAACTCCAAATAAAAGGATGAGAAGTAAAAAATAAAAATAAAAATAATGAGAATTAGAGAAGGTACTTTGTGCTACTAAAATAGAAAGCAGCCAAAGATCCTTGTTTCAGGGATTTAAAATTCTGGTTTGGTTTTTTAGTAAATAATGGAAGCTGTTCTATTCAAAGTTTGACACTAAATTGGGAGATGAGCTTGCTGCATAATTGAAACAGATTCAGGATGAGACCAAGAGTTGTACATGTCTTGGTAATGATTTCTGTCTCTTTCTTTTGCTTTTAAAGGCAGAATGGAGGCTCATAAAAGGGACAGAATGAGGTGGCTCTCCGCTGTGGCTCACAGTGGGTGCTGGTTGAATTGATGGTGTTTATAGCATTCGTGGAGTGCAGTGATTCTCTGAATTCAATTTGAGGAATATGTTTGTGAATATTATGCTATCATATGTCCTATTCCCACTTGATGAAGTCCACCTCCCCCAATTATCCACACAGGTTTCTTATTAATAATTAAGAAATAACTATGAAAAGTCTTGACTCTTCTCATTACTTTCACAGGGAACCTAAGACATTATATAGTATGTCTGGACAAGGATTGCTCAGTACCCATCTGCTTTACACCATAGGGACTTTATGAAATAAGTAGGTTGTTCCAATGATGAAAGATACATTCTTTGGATTTATTTTCAACAGGGTACAAGTATGAAGGAGTGAAATTTGAGAAGGGAAATTGTGGCGTCAGCATTATGAGAAGCGGTAGGTTCACATATGTGTGATATTGTCCATTTGCATGCATATAAACACTTGCCGTTTCCCAGGAGAGAAATGAGATTTTCTGTCACAATTGAAGCATGCTTTAGCTTAAATCTCACTGTGTTGTTTATCCTCATGGTGCATTGGAATTGTGGCCTGTGTGTTGCTGAGTTTGGCTAATTTTAACTGCAGAGCATCTTCCCTAGTGGCCTGCCCCATGGGCAAGCCAGCTGGTAGGAATGTAGACTGGTGCAGCCACTATGGAAAATAGTATAGAGTTTCCTCAAAAAATTAAAAATTGAACTGCTATTTGACCCAGTGGTCTCACTTCTAGGAATATATCCTAAAAGTTCTAAAACACCAATCAGAAATTATATATGCACCCCTATGTTCATAGCAGCGCTATTTACAATAGCTAAGATCTGCAACAAAAGGTGTAAGATAATTTACTAAGCACAGAAGACAATACAAAGAAGTATATGACAGTCTCTCTTTAAGAGTTTTAAACAAAGACATTGGTTTCTTACCCTTTGAGACAGCATGGAAGGACCTGGAGAGTATTATGCTAAGCAAAATAAGCCAGTCAGAGAAAGACAAGTATCACATGATCTCACTCATATATGAAATCTAATGAACACAATAAAGTGATGAATAAAATAGAACTAGAGGCATGGATACATGGAACAGACTGTGATGAATCTCAGAGGGAAGGGGGAAGGGAGGGTGGGAAGAGATTAACCAAAGAACTTACATGTATATATGCCTAGCCCATGGACACAGACAATAGATAGGTGAAGGTCTGGGATGGGGTGGGAGATGGGTAGAGGGGGACAAAAGGGGGAAATGAGAGATATCTGTAATACTCTCAAGAATAAAATAAATTAAAAAAACACACTGTAATACAAATATACAACGGAATACTATATAGCTGTAAAAGAGGAAGGATCTCTTACCCTTTGAGATAGCATGGAGTAACCCGAAGATTATTATGCTAAGCAAAGCAAGCCAGTCAGAGAAAGACAAATATTGCATGATATCACTTATATGTGGAATCTAATGAGCACATTAAACTGATGAATAAAATAGAATCAGAGGCATGGATACATGAAACAAGAGTGACAAATCTCAGATGGAGAGGGAAAGGGAGAAGGGAAGAAATTAGCCAAAGAACTTATATGCATATTAGTGGCCCAGGGCATGGATTTGTGCACATTGAAAGGAAATTAATTAGAAGAAATATTTTAATATCACTATTCACCCTTTCTGTATAATAGAAGTATCAGAGATGAAAGAAAATTAGCAAAATGTATCCTATATAATAAAAGGCTAATATGCAAATTGACCAAATGGCGGGATGACTGATTGCTCAATGCTGGAGCTGCCCCCTGGTGGTCAGTGTGCTCCCACAGGGAGAGTGCTCCTCAGAAGCTAGGCTCACAGCTGGCAAGCGCAGAGGTGGTGGCAGGAGCCTCTCCCGTCGCCTCTGTAGGTGGGTGGTAAGGAGCGAGGGGTCCCGGACTGCGAGAGGGCGCAGGCTGGGCTGAGGGACCTCCCCCCCTCCAGTGCACAAATCTTGTGCATCAGGCCTCTAGTATGAAAATAATATATAAGTTGATTAATAAATAAACAATATGAAAATGATGTAATAACAACAAAGACATGATATAACAACACCAAAACATGATATAAAAACAACAAAAACATGATATAAAAACAACATTGATAAAAACTACTGATAAAATTGATTAAACCTATTCTAATATCTCCCTGTATACCACATTAAGAGTAAAAACACTTTCAGAGTGCTTGACTAATTTCCCTTATGATGAAGTATTTACAACTTTAACTTTAATGTCACACGCTCTTTGAACTCGAGAGAAAGCAACATATAACTGACCATGTCCAAAAACGGGTTCAGGTAGGAAACTCTGTCTAGAGTTTGTCCTTGTGATTTATTAATAGTCATAAAAAATGCTGGCATTACAGGAAACTGTCTTCCAATTAGTTTAAATGGGAGGCCAGTGTCAGATGGGGACAAATCAATTCTTTGAATCAGAACAACCCCTCCTTTCGCAGATCCTGTTAATACTTCAGCTTCGATTATGTTAGGTTGCAATCTTTCGATAATAAATCTAGTACCATTTTAAAGACCCCATTTATTCTTAAGATTTCTCAATAGCATGATGATTGCACCAACTTTCAATTTTAATTTATGACATGGCATTCCCGAAGGAGTAATACTATTAAGAAATTCAATGGGAGCTTTATATGTATCGCGCATGCGCAAATCAACATTTATTTTTAAATTGCCAGTGCACATCATATGTACCTGCCAGTCAGTCGGACAGTTGGACAGGTGGTCAGTCACTTAGCCTTTTATATATATAGATATGCATTGCCCATTAACATAGACAATAGGGTGGTAAAGGCCTGGGGTGGGGTGGGGATCAGGTGGTGGGGAGCAAGGGGGGAAAAAGGTGGGGCATCTGTAATACTTTCAACAATAAAGATTTAACAAATATTCAGGGGAGGACGGGAGGATAGGAGGATGCGATAATGCTGTCTTGGGGAGAAGAGAGCAGCTTGAAGACTTATGAATGATGGTACAATTTCAAATCCACAGAACTTTGCATACCGGGCTGGAGAAAATTTTTTTTCTGTTTTTTATTTCTTTTGAGCTGGACTGAATGACCTGTTTAGTAATTTTAGTTTTATATTTGATGAGTATGTGACCATGTAGGCAAATTCACTTAACTGTCATTAACTCTAGGTATTTACAGTTTTTGCTGGTCTCATAAATACTGTATTTGGTTTGAGTACAACTGATAACCCTTATAAGCTAACCTTTGTGCAGTAAAATTACATGCCTACAATTAGAAGCTATATGTGTTACATAGGGATGATTATTTCTATTCAGCAATTTAATTATTTTTTTTCCCCACAAGATACAGGGTACAGTGGAAGCCCCACTTGCTTGCAATGGAAACAGATGGACTTTAAAAAACACACACATATTAACACTAGAGGCCTGGTGCATGAAATTCGTGCACCGGGGGGAGGGGAGTGCCCCTCAGCCCAGCCTGCACCCTCTCCAATCTGGGGACCCCTGTGGGATTGGGCCTAAACCGGCAGTTGGACATCCCTCTCACAATCCGAGACTGCTGGCTCCCAAATGCTCACCTGCCTGCCTGCCTGATTGCCCCTAACTGCTTCTGCCTGCCAGCCTGATCACCCCCTAAGCTGGCTCCCAACCGCTTGCCTGCCTGCCTGCCTGATTGCCCTTAACTGCTTCTGCCTGCCAGCCTGATTACCCCCTAACCACTCCCCTGACAGCCTGATCGATGCCTAACTGCTCCCCTGCTGGCCCGATTGCCCACAACTGCCCTCCCCTGCTGACCTCGTTGCCCCCAACTGCTCTCCCCACCGGCCTGGTCATCCCTAACTTCCCTCCCCTGCCGGCCCAGTCACCCCTAACTGCCCTCCCCTACAAGCCTGGCTCCCAGACCCAACTGCCCTCCCTGGCTGGCCCGGTCACCCCTAACTGCCCTCCCCTGCTGGCCTGATCGCCCACAAGTGCCCTCCCCTGCAGGCCATCTTGTGGCTGTGGGTGCCGCCATCTTTGAGTGTGTGGCATTCAATTAGCATATTCCCTCCTTATTGGCTGTGGGTGCCGCCATCTTTGAGGGCATGGCATTCAATTAGCGTATTCCCTCTTTGTTGGCTGTGGGCGCTGCCATCCTTTGGTTGATCTCTCCCCCTTCCCTCCACCCTCCCCTACCTTCCCTCTGAGGTTTGACGGTCTGATGGATGCTTCTCTGTCTCCAGATCTGTTTTTGTTCATCAGTTTATGTTGTTCATTATATTCCATAAATGAGTGAGATCATGTGATATTTATCTTTCTCTGACTGGCTTATTTCACTTAGCATAATGCTCTCCAGTTCCATCCACGCTGTTGCAAATGGTAAGAACTCCTTTTTTACCATAGCATAGTATTCCATTCTATAGATGTACCACTGTTTTTTTAATCCACTCATCTGCTGATTGGCACTTAGGCTGTTTCCAAATCTTAGCTATGGTGAATTGTGCTGCTATGAACATAGGGGTGCATATATCCTTTCTAATTGGTGTTTCTAGTTTCTTGGGATATATACCTAGAAGTGGGATCACTGGGTCAAATGGGAGTTCCATTTTTAGTTTTTTTGAGGAAACTCCATACTGTTCTCCACAGTGGCTGCATCAGTCTGCATTCTTACCAGCAGTACACAAGGGTTCCTTTTTCTCCGCATCCTCACCAGCACTTGTCGTTTGTTGATTTGTTGATGATAGCCATTCTGACAAGTGTGAGATGGTACCACATTGTCGTTTTGATTTGCATCTCTCGGATGATTAGTGACTTTGAACATGTTTTCATATGTCTTTTGGCCTTTCTTCTGTCTTCTTTCAAAAAGTATCTATTTAGGACCATTGCCCATTTTTTGACTGGGTTGTTTATCTTCATTTTGTTAAGTTGTATGAGTTCCCTGTAAATGTTGGAGATTAAACCCTTATCGGTGATAACATTGGCAAATATGTTCTCCCATGCAGTGGACTTTCTTGTTGTTTTGTTGATTGTTTCCTTTGCTGTGCAGAAGCTTTTTATTTTGATGTAGTCCCATTTGTTTATTTTCTCTTAATTTCCATTGCCTTAGGCTGTGGGCGCTGCCATCTTTGAGGGCAGGGCAGTCAATGAGCATATTCCCTCCTTATTGGCTGTGGGCGCCGCCATCTTTGTGATGGCGTGAGGGTCAATGATCATATTCCCTCTTTATTAGATAGGATGCCCTTTGCTCCGCTGGCTATAAAGTTCTATTTGTGAACAACTGAATACTTGAATTAAAGTAGCTTTTTAAAGCTTCCTTGTATTAGGATATTCAGGACAATGTTGTTCAATCTTTTAATACTGGTAAAGACAATGGATATGGGATTCTAAGTTACAATTTCTTCTGTTTCAGTCCAGCTCCTGCCCTACGGCAGCAGCATGGTCCTCAGATGCGTAATGTGTACCAGATGACTATGGGTGATGCATAAACACAGTTGTTTTTAACCTCAAGAGCTACTGGTCAATTTTCACATATGTTAGAAACTGTTTCTATGTATACAGTAGTGATTATAAAGTTTCTTCTTAAAGTACATGCAAACAAAAATGATTAACTTAAAAATATTAAGTAAATAATAATACAAGTAGAATTCTGATGTAGCCTAAAATCTTAAGGTGGTATGACAATGATTGACTTTTGGCAAACACTTCCTTAAAAGAATTCAGACTCAGAATAGCTCCATGTTTAGAAACCAAGTGGATGGTGGTGCTATTGATTGTGGTTTTCTGGGGCATGGTGGAAGGAACAATGCACTATTTTTCCATTGTCAGCAAAAACTTTGCCACTGAAGTCATTGCTAAGTGATGTCTCCTGATGCCACTTTGATCTAAAAGGAGATCGTTAGGTGTGTAGCCTTTAGTCTTCCATAAACCTTTTATATTTTTTCTGATGAAGTAACAAGTTTAGGTGGCTTAAAGGCTCCCTTAAGTAATAAGAGTGAAATATTCCTGATATTGGAAAAGCTCAGGGAGCAGCTTGACAAAATACTTTTTTTCTTGTAATCATGGAAAATTTTCAAACCAGCAATAAAACTAGCTTATTCTAGTTTCATTGACCTGCATTAAGTATAAAATATAAATGTATCAGAAGTAAAGCTGTTAGCTTAAGAAGAATTGCTTCTGTCTTGACAGTGTCCTTTTTATATTAATAACAGTCACAAACACTGCTTTGGCCTATTCTTGGACTTTCATTATATCTCCCCTAACCCCCTTTTTACTTTTTTATTATCTTCTTCAAGGTGAGGCAATGGAACAAGGTTTACGAGATTGCTGTCGATCCATACGTATTGGAAAGATCCTGATTCAGAGTGATGAGGAGACACAAAGAGCCAAAGTATATTATGCCAAGTTCCCTCCAGACATTTATAGGAGAAAAGTCCTTCTGATGTACCCAATTCTCAGTGAGTGGCTTGAGTTAAATCTGTAACCTTTGGTTAGAGTTTAAATTCAATTTAGTGCCTACCTTCTGGGTACCATTTATAAGGCAAAAACTGTTTTTAAATGTTTTTTTCTCACTTACATTTGGAGTTGCCCATGGCAGTTCACTGGAGAATGTTTATTGAGTAATAAGAGAATATACATTAGTCAAACTTTATTAGTTCCAAAGAGCTTCTTTCTTAGAATGAACACATTGAAGCAACGGATCTAATGAGGCAAAATATATAGAATACAGAAAATATATTGAAATATGTCCCCTCACTAGCCCAATGAGTTATAGCATTGATTTTCTCAAGGATGTATCTATCATCTCTGGAGGTAAATTTTTTTTTCTTCATTGTATTTTGTTTTCTAAGCTTACTCAGATCATACATAGCATGGTCTCCTGGGATTGGGATGGAGGGTGGGTGTTAAATTTGATATCTCAAATACTGAATGAATTTTGGGCTTGTTGTGCCTTTGAAAACTGTAAAGTGTATGTTTCATGTCCATCATTAAAAATAATGAAGCTTTGCCCTAACCGGTTTTGCTCAGTGGATAGAGCGTCAGCCTGTGGACTGAAGGGGCCCAGGTTTGATTCCGGACAAGGGCATATACCTTGGTTGCTGGCACATCCCCAGTAGGGGTTGTGCAGGAGGCAGCTGATCGATGTTTCTCTCTCAATGATGTTTCTAACTCTCTATCCCTCTCCTTTCCTCTCTGTAAAAAATCAATAAAATGTATTTTAAAAAAATAATGAAGCTTTGCCTAATTGTGTCTTATGTTAGATTATTAAGCTACCTTTGCTTCAAATAAGCATCAAATACATTTTGAGAAAAATGTTAAAGTTGACAGTTCATTTGGTTGTCATTTGATTTCAGGCACTGGAAATACTGTAATTGAAGCTGTAAAGGTTCTTATAGAACATGGAGTTCAACCCAGTGTTATCATCCTACTCAGTCTGTTCTCCACTCCTCATGGTAAGTTCAGCATGAGGCAGTAACTGGGGCTCCATATGGTCGTTGGGTGGGTAAGTATGCATCTGTCCAGCCTCTCATCCTGATAAAAAGTTTATTTGCTTCCACATTAAGTCTAAATCTAATTTTGGTAGTTAAACTTGTGTTTCTTATCTGTAAGCTTAGTGATAATATTTTACACCATTCTAATGTTGTTCAAATGGAAAAGCATGAACTAACCCCATGGAATGGGATTGTGATTTATTTTCCTAGGGGCTCTGTTTGGTAGAGCCTGTAAATAGCCAAAAGGTCTCTATATCTCCTGGTTCCTCATATGGGTACAAGAACTGCTCCCAAACATCAAGAAATTAGAGGTTCTAGATAGCCCTGTGGTCTTACTTAAGTAAGCTTTGCAGTGTGAAGCAGAGCAGAAATTTTTAAAGTTAGACTTCTGCTCAAAGGGCCTCGTGAGAAAACTATGTTCTCCATTTCTTGAGGAAGTTAAGCCTAATTTAAGACCATAGTTTTTTTGCCATGCAATCTATGACAGTTATGAAAGTATCCTAATAAAAAAAAATCATAGATGCATATAGAAATATTTCATGTAAGAAAACAATTTGAAAGTATGTAAATGGCTTACGATAAGGGAATGGTTAAATAAATATATATTCAAAGGATATAATATTATGTAACTGTTAAATCATGTTTTTGAAAAATAATGACATCAAAAAAATCTATTTGGTGAATGAAAAAGAGCAGGATAAAAAATAACAGCATTATTTAGTGTTAAATGTTATTACCAAGTTCTGAGATGACTAATACAAATTATGACTATTATGACTACCAAAATCAGACTTAGATTTAACATGGAACCTAATAAATCTTTCCTCAGCAAGAGAGGCTAGCCAGATGTGTAATACTATTTCAATTTTCATTTTAAAATGCACATACAATATTAATAGTGGTTATCTTAGGTTGGTAGGAGTCTTAAGTGATTTATTTATTTTTTAAAATATATTTTATTGATTTTTTACAGAGAGGAAGGGAGAGGGATAGAGAGCTAGAAACATCGATGAGAGAGAAACATCGATCAGCTGCCTCCTGCACACACCCCCACTGGGGATGTGCCCGCAACCAAGGTACATGCCCTTGACTGGAACCGAACCTGGGACCCTTCAGTCCGCAGGCTGACGCTCTATCCACTGAGCCAAACCGGTCAGAGCAAGTGATTTATTTTTTAACTTTTTATATTTTCAAAATTTTCTACAATGAATTTGTATTTGTTTCATAATTCAAGAGAAAGAGAAATATATGACTTCTGTTTAGGGCATTTCCTCATTTCCAAAGGTTCCAAGTTTCAGCCAACCCTGAATCGGTTATGAAGTATCCATTTTGGGAGGGCTATATTCAGTAGGCCATTGATTATTTTGCTGTTTCATAATTTTAAAAATTACCTGTAGTTCAAATGTTGATGGTGACAAGGGGTAACATGCTTGGTCATCCTTTTATATATAACAGGTGGCATTGTAAACATTGAGATAACCAAATAATTATTGGGTTGTCTGCCTTTGGGGGTGGAAAACTTACTGTGTTAGTTCTAATAGTATACATTACAATAGTGTACTATTCTTTAACATTATAGATGAAAAAATCATATTCTTTGGTAGCCTTTCGATGGCTTTTTAGTTTGAGTGGGATACTAGCTATTCTCTTTCCCTGCTCCCTCCTCCTACCCTCCCCACAAAAGTTAGAGTACTAATTTCTTAAAAGCTAGCTTGCTCTGACATAACAAAGAAGTCTTTGCACTTCTTTCACAGTGTTCCAGTTGAGAAACCATCAGCTTACGTATGATCCTACTTTCAGAGAGAACTATTTTCTCTTTATTCCAGCTGCCTTTAACTATAACTGAATATATTTTTCAAATCATGGATATGAAATAATTGATTGTAAGAATTTATTAGTGAGTGAGCGAGGGTGTAATCTGACTACTATCAAAGCTTTTCAGATATCAGACATTAAAAAACTAAGAGACCAAATCTCATTAGGTACTCAAAGGTCATTGCTCTCTATCCTCTGTCAATATGAGGCCTAGTGACTGACCGTAAAATTCCTGAATTCAAACTAATGTTACCAAAAATCCTGCATTAATAATAATTTTCTTCCTTTTATTTTTTTTGAAGGTGCCAAATCAATCATTCAAGAGTTCCCAGATATCACAATTTTAACTACTGAAGTTCATCCTGTTGCACCTACACATTTTGGACAGAAATACTTTGGAACTGACTAAGTTATTAAAAGAAAGTTAATTATCTTGTGTAATATTACAGTTATATTTTGAGTTTCTATCTGTTTTACTGATTCACTTGAGGACTGGCAGAGAAAATTGTATTAAAGATGCTTTGTAACTTTTGGAAGTGGGTATAGTAAAAAGAAAAGATTTGAGGTTTCTTTATTTTATTTGTTTCTTTCTTAACTGTCGGCACCAACTTCAACAATGAAACACACACAACTCTTAGAAAATATTTTAATAATATTCTTATGCCAATTGCTTACCCCTCAGTACATTGAAACTGTTCCCTAATTTATTAACCTCTCTTGCAGCCACAAATAAACCCAAATGGGAATAAGTTCTTTGGCCCAGTATAGTTTGCATTTTGTGTAGTTTGCTTATAGTTCTAGGGAGTTTTCATTTTTGTGGCTGTTTTCACCTTCCTCCACTATTTACTTTCCAGTACTTTACATGCTGGTAACTTGGAGAGGATGAAAAAAATTCTTCCATGTATCTTACATTTCCTTAATATCCTCAATTGGCAGACCCAGGATATATATAATCTTTTCAGCCAAGCCATTATGTTCTTCCTGACTCATTTCCTACCCTATGTAGTGCTGGTAGGGTATTGCAGTGAAAAAATGGTGGGGCATTTTCTGCATCTGTAACTTTAACTTACATAGATCAAACCAGGAATGTCTGGATGATGACAAGGAAGGGCTAAGTACTGTTAATGCCATCAATGTCCTAGAAAGAGGACAACTTCTCTAGTTGTAGGACTTCCATTCAGCCAGATTTCAGGTGTTTCTGAATGATGGTTGTTCTGTAATTTTGATGTGGTTGTGAGTACCGGCATTTACCCACATTGCCATCTTTAATGTGATTATTGTTATGAATGTTTTTAAACCTACCATCTTGCTATTTGTATTTGCCTTCTATTAGGCCCATTTGTCCTTTATTAAAAATAATTCTTTTTTGTTGAAAGTATTACATATGACCCCCATTTTCCCCCATTGACCCCCTCTAGCCTCCCCTGCCCCCTCCCCCGCCCCAGGCCCTCATCGCCCCATTGTCTGTGGCTATGGTAGACCCATTTGTTCTTTATTCACTTTTTCTTCTTTTTCTACATTCTTTTGGATTGAATAATATTTATCATTGCATTTTATCTCTTAATGGCTTATTAGATATAATACTTTTTGTTTTTTTAGGGTTTATATACACCTTTAACTTATCACAGTCTATTTTGTATATAATATAAAAATTTAAACAATATCCTTCCATCCCTCCCAGCCTTGGTGCTACTAAAGAGATGTAAAAGGATGTAAAAGAAATAAGAAAAAAAGAAGTTATTATTTATCCATTTTTGGTGCTTTTCATTTCTTCGTGTAGATCCAGATTTTTATCAGGTATTATTATCCTTCTATCCATATTACTTCCTTTAACATTTCTTATGGTGTAGTTCTCCTAGTAATGGAGTCTTTCAGCTATTGTGTCAGAAAAAAAGTCTCTATTTCACCTCCACTTGTGAAAGATATTTCACTAGTATAGAATTTTAGGTTGGCAGCTGTTTTTTTCTTTCAGTACTTTAGTGACATTGCATCACTGCCTTTCTTGTACATTTTTGATAAGTCTCCTGTTATTTATTTATTTACATTTAATTACTGATAAAGTAGGATTTACATCTATAATTTTGCTGTTTTATATATCTTATATACCTGCTTTATTCCTCCATTACTGTGTTCTTTTTTATTAATTGAATATTATATAGTGTACCTGTGCTGGGGATCCCAATGACCACTCCCAGGACTCAATAAGATTCAGAATTCATTATATTTATGGTTATGATTTATTATAGCAAAATGATACAAAGAAAAATCAGCAAAGGGAATTAGGTGCATGCTGCAAAATCTGGAGAAAACCAGGTTCAAGCTTCCAGTGTCCTCTTCCAGTGGATCTGCACAGGATATACTTAATTCTTGTATTTACAAAGTGTAGCAATAGGTGTGAAGTATAGTCTGTCAGGGAAGTTCACTTGAGCATAAGATTCCAGAGTTTTTATTGGGGCTTGGTAACATAGGCATACTGCCTGTATGATAGAGCACAGTTATCAACTGTCCTCATCCATAGGTGCACGATTTTTGTCCAGTTTCTTCCCGCATCTCCCATTCCCCTTTCCCCCCCAAGAATAGTCAGTCCATTCCCTTTCTATGTCCCTGATTCATTATAATCACCAGTTCATTCTGTACATCAGATTATTTATTCACTTGGTTCTTAGATTCACTTGTTGATAGATGCATGTTTGTTGTTCACAATTTGTATCTTTACCTTTTTCTTCTTCCTCTTCTTAAAGGATACCTTTCAGCATTTCGTATAATACTGGTTTAGTGGTGATGAACTCCTTTAGCTTTTCCTTATCTGTGAAGCTCTTTATCTGACCTTCAATTCTGAATGATAGCTTTGCTGGATAAAGTAATCTTGGTTGTAGGTTCTTGGTATTCATCACTTTGAATATTTCTTGCCATTCCCTTCTGGCCTGCCAAGTTTCTGTTGAGAAATCAGCTGACAGTCGTATGGGTATTCCCTTGTAGGTAATTGAGTCTCTTTCTCTTGCTGCTTTTAAGATTCTCTCTTTGTCTTTTGCTCTTGGCATTTTAATTATGATGTGTCTTGGTGTGGTCCTCTTTGGATTCCTTTTGTTTGGGGTTCTCTGCGCTTCTTGGACCTGTAAGTCCATTTCTTTCACCAGGTGGGGGAAGTTTTCTGCCATTATTTCTTCAAATAGGTTTTCAATATCTTGCTGTCTCTCATCTTCTGGCACCCCTATTATTCTGATGTTGGTACGCTTGAAGCTGTCCCAGAGGCTCCTTACACTATCTTCGTATTTTCGGATTCTTTTTTCATTTTGCTTTTCCGGTTGGGTGTTTTTTGCTTCTTCGCATTTCAAATCTTTGACTTGATTCTTGCGCTCCTCTGGTCTGCTATTGGGTGTCTGTATAATATTCTTTATTTCAGTCCGTGTATGCTTAATTTCTAGTTGGTTCTTTATCATAGCATCGAGGGTCTCATTAGTTTTCGTGACTCTCTCCTCAAGTTTATTGACAGCTTCTAGCACATTTTTGCAAGCCCTCAAAATTGCGATTTTTAGCTCTATATCCTCCATTTCTGTCATGTTTTTTTGTCTCCGCATTTTTTATGCTTTCTTGGTGCACCCCCTAGTGGTCTTTGTGCGCAGTCTTGTTCTAGTTGAGCCTTGATTGTTGTAGTTAATACTAGAGGGATTTGACCACCAGGCCGACTGGCTGTGTGAATCAGCTGTGTCTGCCGCGGAAAACTTCTGTCCTCTGGGGAGGTGCTAATCTAGCCTTTGCCTGAGGCGATCTGGCAAATGGCTCTGCGCAGGGCTTGGGCGGGGCGGGCTCAACAGGGCGGGCGGGCGGAGGGAGCGGTTATGGCCCCTCTCAGTCCCGTTCCCAGAGGCTCTGCTTCTCAGAACCCCCGGAACCGCTGCAAACCTCGGAGGGAAAGCTGCCTTCCAACTGATGCCAGACACTCCCGCTTCTCCCGTTTGGGTCCGAGTCCCCAGCGATTCGCCCGTATCTGGAGCTCAGAGTCTGAGACTCCCCCCTGACCGAAAACGACAACCGCGCTCTCAGCCACCAGCCCGCTTTGCGCGCGCACCTCCGCACCTGAGTATTTTCCACACTGCGCCTCCTCTGAGCCTCGGTATGCTGTTGTCTTTCCTTCTAGTTGAAGAGTGTCTCCTCAGCCAGCCTTCCTGTGGTTCTGGGTGATGTCCGTTCCGTCTTTTAGTTGTATTTTTGAAGTGGTTGTTTGCGGCAGCAGTCTCCGGTGTTTACCTATGCCGCCATCTTGGTCTCTCCTCCAAAACAGACCACCTTAAGGAAAGCAAATGATCACCATAAATCTAATTATTTACATAGACTATCTACATATTGGTCCAGTGTGGTTCAAAGAAGCTCCAAGTGTGCAAAAAAATCTTTTATGAGTTAAAACATTCTAAGACCTCAATGTCCAGCATTTAGATAAGGGCCATTGATGAAAACAGACTCTTCTGGGAATGTGCAAGGTTTGAGCAACTTACACTTGCTAATTCAACTATTTCCTGTACATTTCACCTGTCTGGCCCTTGTCCCAGGCTCTCTGACATGAAAACAATTGTATTTTTCTGAGCACCTACATTTAGTATAGGATTTATATAGCAAAATAGTAATAATATCAACATGAGTATATCCAGCATTTGGAGGAGTCAGTGCTACATAGGGATAGACATGAAGTAGCAATTAATACATACTATATTGTCATTATGTTTATCTCCACATTTTTGTGTTAATTTACACCTCATCTACAGTTGTTTGTGCTTTATGATAAAATTCGGTAGAACTACAATAGGTTCCCCTTATCTATAGTGGATACTTTCCAAAACTCCCAGTGCATGCCTGAAATCACCGATAGCACCATATGCTTTTCATACATACCTATGATAAATTTAATTTATAAATTAGGAACAGTAAGAGATTAACAATAACTAATAAAATATAACAATTATAGCAATATAATGTAATAAAAGTTATGTCAATGTAGTTTCTCCTAAATATCTTTTTGTACTGTATTCACCCTTCTTATGATGTGAAATGATAAAATGCCTACGTGATGAGTTAAATTGAGGTGAATGATGTAGACACTGTGTTGTAATGTTAGGCTACTATTGTCCTGATGATATGTAAGGAGATTCATCTGTTTGAGTGATCCTGGATCACTGTGCCATGACATTGATGCATATCAGAAGCAGATGATGTCAATGGTTGGGAATCTCCAATTTTTGAAGTTTTTTTTCCTGAAACCTTTTGAAGAACATTGCAATCTGAAATTGTTGTCTTTTTATTTTAACTCATGGAAGTGTTGCTGTCCAGGTAATCCTTTGGTGATCATGTGGGTGACTTTAATCTGAGTTCTATCTGAAGGTCATATTCCTTAATTTTGTCCTTTAATACCTGCAATTAGAAACACTTCAACAAATGCTGGTAATGTCCACATTGCTGGTTCTGTTTCAGCTTCTTCATTTTCCTCTTCCTCTGTAGACAACTCAACAAATTCTTCCAAATCCTCATTTGTTAACACTTGATGGCCTTCAATATGTTCTCTAACTTCATAAAACATG